TGGTGGCGTGGCGGCATAATTTGACGCATGGAATGACATTTTTTTTTTATTTTAATAGTAATTTAGGTAATAAAAGTGACATAGAAACACTAGAAGTTTTTATGTAAAAAATCAAAAAAGAGAAAAAATTACGATGTCTGACCCATTTGAAATAATCCACTATGAGTTTTGATATACGCATAATCTCTTGTCCACGTACATGAAATGGTTAAAAAATTTCTTGAGTTATAACAATCATACATGTATGAGCTCTTAGGTCCTTGGTATGGAGTGGTTGCAGTAGGGAGCGGTTGTCGGAGCTTCGATACATCGTCTTTGAGGTTGACAGGATGTTCAGGTGGATGTACTGTTTCGTAGGATTGTTTGTGACTCCGTGATATCGTTTGTTATTTCTCGATTCGCAATGTAGGTTTTAATCAAGTCAGAGGCGACCTATATTGATCGACGGTGACCGACATGTGGTTGTTGATAGTGGTTCTCGGACTTCGGTGCAGAAGCAATATCAAATTTCAGCTCTTTTTCAAGCTTCAATTTTCTTCTGGCTCAAGGTTTATGTTTTCTCTCAACGAGGGGGTAGAGCTCTATTACAGAGTTTGAGAGAGGCCTTGTTTACAAAAAAAGAAGAAATTTAAATCACTCCATCAGACATTCCAAAGAGATCTCCTTGATCAGATGATGTTTAGTAAATATTTGAATGTCTTAATGATGTCAGAATTGAGTGATCTTAAGTTCATTAGATTCGTCTCACCAATAAATTTAATTCAATTATAAATTTGTCATATTTAAAATACATTTAATTATCCAATTATGCACTATAAGCTTTGAAAAGTAGTTTAAGTGCTTGATATAGGCCTGATTTGACTAAGATTAAACTACTTTGGTATCATTTAGTCCTTCCGTTGAGTTTGTCAGTTCAAAAATAAGTTTGTTGAAATAAGAGTTATGAATTCTAAATGATTTTTAATTGAGTTTGAATGTCTCTGGCCAAAAAATAATATCGAGATTTATACCATGCTTTAAGTTTCATGATGATAATTTATTTATAGTGTTTTAATAATATTTTTAAAATAATATTTTTGATTATTATTAATATAAAATGAAAATTTAGATATTAAATATGTAAATCTAAAAGAATTTTGTGGAATGAGAATGCTAATTGTGTCGGCAGTATTTTACTTTATCCATGATAATTATTTATTATTGTTAATAAGCGAGGACAAATAATTTCAAAAAATTCACATTTTAATATTATGAAGAGACCGTCACAAACGCTCCGAAGCCCGGCCCTATAGAGTCTCATTCACTCCGCCGCTGATCACCATCACCGTCATCATCGTCGTCATGCCTTCGCGATCCAAGAAGAAGAGAACAATGAAGCGCAAAAAGGAGAGGACCAACCACCAAACTCCAACTAACTCCTCTTGTCCTCAAGGTTCCTCCTTATACCACCAACCCTCTTTTCTTCTTCTCCCATAAACAGTTAACTTCTTGCTTTTCAGGCAACGGGACAAGTGGCGACCATGATGACAGCAGCGACCACCCGTTAACTGACGAGGATTTCTCACCAAGAGCTTCTATGGAAGCCAAGCCCGAGCACGAGCACGAGCACGAGCCCGAGCACGAACCCGAGGCCGATCCGGAGTCCGCAGTTAGTGAGGATGCATCTGCGGTTCCGATCGAGCAGCCAACCGTTTCGGAATCGGAGCAAACTGAAGTAACTACCGCAGTGCCATTGGAGGTTTTGCAGGAATCTTCTGCTCATCGGGAGGTTAGGGAAAAGAGTGGTGAAGGAAGCTTGTACAGTGAGAGGGCTGAGATTCCAGTGGCTATTTCTCGGGTACTGGGGTTTCCAAGCTTACACAAATGCACCGTTCTCTTTTTTTTTTTTTTTTCTTTTCAACTTTTGATTTCTTGGATGAATCTTTGTTCTAGGACACTCCTGCTACGGGACCTGCCCCGCTGTTAGAGCGCCGTGCTTCGTGGTGGAACTGTTGCGGCTTGCTTGATGTTTTTAGGGGATCCCAAAGGTGAGGTTGAGCAAAACAGGTTTTTGAATAATGGAGATGCTTTTTTGTTTTATGTAAATCTTACAAAATTAAAATATTTCGTCTGCTGGTTATTTTTGGGGTAGGATTGCTCTCTTTTATTTCTTGTTTCTTGTGGTACGTTGACTGCTCCTCTTATCCGCGATTAGATAATTGTATGGAAGTTAAGAGGCTGTTTGCTTTGGTGAAAAAGGAAGTGCAATTTAAAAAACTTGCATAGTACTATGATTACAATGTTTTTGAAATGCTTTCGAGTTGTTTGGTTCATTATAATAAATGTAGGACTTTATATTTTTTTGTTGGTTTGAAGTTAATTGAAAATAATATATTTCAAAATATATTTTTTTGTCTGGTGGCGATGGTGGGCTGGCAGGCGGCCAACAGCCGTGGGCTATTGGGCGGCGCGACTAATGGAGGTGACCACGGGCGGTTGGCGGCGGGAGGGGGGAACTG